ATCTTTTAGCCTTTTGTTTCTGTCCATGGAGTTTTCTTGGCAGAGATACTGGAGTGGCTTACCAGTTCCTGCTCCAGGGGGATTGCATTTAGTCAGAACTCTCCACTATGACCTGTCTGTCTTGGGTGTCTCTGCACGGCATAGCGCATAGCTTCTCTGAATTACTCAAGCCCCTTCGCCACGACAAGGCATCAATCCATGAAGGGGGACATTAGCGGTAGGTCACCCTATTGTTCCCCATAAAAAGATTGGCAGAAGTGGGACCAGAGGAAGGAAGGAAAGAATGAAGGACTATGATCTGGAATGCAAATTGCATCACATTCAATATGAATAGTGAAGTTCTGAATCATTCAGTCCATGTATGAGCACTGACTGCGATTTCAAACTTAAAACAAGCTGCGAATCAAATTGCAGCAAAGCAAAATAACCCCAATTCAGCTTTCTAGTGTAATTGCACACCTAATCAAAACTATGAGGGCACCAGCAATTGGTTTTTACACCTTTATCTTTTTGTATGCAATGGTCCAGACTTAGAAGGCCAATCCACTCATGGCCAGTATCTCATGCTTATAGTATTCATATTAAACTGAGATATAAGAAGATACATTGCATGTTTTATTCTAATTAAACTTTATTTTCTAAACATTTCATCACCTCAATGTCTTTCCACTCATATTTAATCATTTTGCCTTTAGAACAGTGCATTCCTCCTAAACGTTTGCCACATGGCCAAGTGACTGATGACTCTAAGAATATCTTCATAGAAGGTGACACAATTTCATTCCATTGTGATGTGGGATATCAGCCTGAACATCAGTCACCAGTGGCCACATGCACAAGAAAAGATTGGTCGCCTGCTCTCAATTGTTTGGCCACATGTAAGCTTCACTTCTATGTTCTCTTAGCTGAAAAGTTGGGGACTTTTGATGTAGCTTATCTTGTTCTGCCTTAAAGCCCACTCTATATCTGTTGTTAATCTCACTGTTGACTCAAGTGTTCTTACTGGCATTATAGCACTCAGTGGCGAGCTGAACTGGGACTACCAGAAATAAATCAGGGTAGAACTAAAGAAGGGGGGGCATTTATTTTCCTATGGGGTTTTGCTTTTCTTGTATTTGCATGAGCTTTAGTTGAACTGTAGCAGCAGCTAAAATACACAAACACATTAGGACAGAGCTTGAAAAAGTTGTGTTTTCCCCTTTCCTCATTTCCAAGGGATGGTTCAACAGTCTTTGGTTACTAACTAAACATATGCAACCCTTAGGCTATTTGGAAGGTAAGGCAAAGAAATGCTATCTGAGGACTGCTAAAAAAGGTTTTGGTTTATTCACAAGTCCATTCTATCAGCAGCCATTGTTACAAAAGTTTTCAGTGATACAGAGTTATAATAGAATTGGTGAAAACAAAGAAAGCTGTGTTATCTTTACCCAATACAAAAGCAAGGAAAAATAATAATAATATTAGATCACTTTGAAAAAGCAAATCGCTAGCTTTCAAAGAATTTTAGTATTCATCAGGCTCTATATCAATATATTGTGGGTGGTGCAGAAAAAACATATGAAATTCCCCAAAGTCATGGACGATGTCTGTACCAGGTCTGTTTCTTAAAATTGAGTTGCCAAATGCAGACTGAAAACACAAGTCAGGAGTCTAGGTTTCACATTCCACCCCGGTGACTTTTGATTGGGTTCTTTCTCCCAACTTACAAAACAAAGGGGGGGGGACAGATATTCAGCAAACCCCCACCTCATCACTTTCTTTTGGCACTCAGAGTTCCTATTTGATGGGGAAAGAAGTGACACAGAAAGGTGGCAAGAGAACTGGGAATAAAATTTGATCTATTCACTAAGTGAAGCCTGTTGAAATCAAATTCTCAGTATTACTTGGTGGTTGGAAGCAGACATTATCTCCTTTGTGCAGTCCTGCTTGACTGATGTTAAGTGTCCATATTGTCTTCTAGATGGTGCACTGGGTGGCTGTTCAGGATATCCTCTGTAGAAATGGGGTAATTTATATAATTTTTTTCTTCTTATCTCCAGCTTCATTGAAGAGTTTGAACTTGACCAGCACCTGAAGATTGAATAATGTATATAAGCAATTATGTATATGTATTCTTTATCAGTATATTCTTTATCTTTATTGTTACAGATCTTGTAAGGGTATTTGCATCTTAGACCAAATTAGATATACAGTATATTTTTCCAAAATGAATACATTAAAAATAAATATTAGCAAGGACCTGGTTCATGCTAGTGTTTTACCAGAGATAACAGCCCCCAAACCTTTCTCAGTAGTTGTGGTTTGCTCCACTAATTGTGCCTTCCAGCCATTACCATATTGACTCCAGATTTAAAATGACAGAAAACTTCTGACCACGGGGGCCTAGGTAAAGGCCGGAATGGAACATATGCCAAAACTAATAGGCTATGAAGAACAAAAATCAATGCAATATTTCAGACACAAAAAACCTCCATCCAGGCTAGAACAATAACTTTCAAGTAGGACAAGCCAACAATATTCGCTCATCCCAGCTATTGAAAGAAGACTGACAACAGCCACAAAACATCCCTAGGAAAAACATTCCAATATCCATTCCAGGCAGAGAACTGGTATAGTACAAAACAGCCTGGATGGCAACTTCCAAGTAAGATAGCTTAACAAAACTCACCCATCCTATTTCCAAATAGCCTAAGGGTTGCGTATGTTTAGTTAGTAACATATCCCACCTATCTGGTCAGTTAAGACCACTCTAGGCGACTTACAGCATAAAAATACATTAAAGTATATATATATAACAGTTTTTACATAATAGAACACATAGTCAACAAGATGGGGCAAACAATGGGGAGAGGAAGAAAGGAAAGCATCAGGAATTAATTGGAGGGAAGGCCTGCCGAAACATCCATGTTTTTAATTGATTTTTAAAGATACCCAGCGAGGGAGCCATGCGAATCTCCGGAGGTAGGTTGTTCCAGAGGCGAGGAGCCACCGCCGAGAAGTCCCGATTTACCAAAACATTCAGAGGAACAACATTTCATTGTATACTCCAGGAGGAAAATCAATACTGTGGAAGCAGACCAGAATGGTGACTTCTGAATCCAGCAACATTCACTGTCGTTGGAATAGAGAGGACTGATAAAACAAGCTACAAAACAACTTCAGGAGCAAGATTCCAGACAGTAAATTGGTATCATGCAAAGCAGCCCAGAAATTTGATTTCTGAGTAGGACAGCCCAGCAAAATCCCGCATGGTCAAGGACATTCCTCTGATACAGGAGTATCTAACGAACCATGGGTTCTTAACCTCACCAAGGCTGATGAAGCTTTCTTCTTCACATAGGGGCCAGAATCAATACTTCAGAGGCAAAGATTTATTTGTTGCCCAACAGAATTTCTACAATCCTGACTAAGGTGAAACTGATTGTCTGCACCTTAAGTACCTCTCATGGGTAGCTGGACGTCATTTCTACAGTTCACATAGTACTTTGGGCCCTATTTCATCCCAGGACCTTTCAATGTGGGCTTCAGCCATATCAATGTCAGCCAACTCTCCACCTCTATGTGTCATTCTTCTTATCCATGAAGGAGAGGCAGAGTCTTTTATGGTGGGCCTCCAAACATAGTCATTCCTCTTTGAATTCCAGAACAAAGTTCTAGTAAGTTCAGATGCACGTCTAACAGGGTAGGGAGCTATTTGCCTGGATCACACTGTCCAGATATCATGAAATCCATCAGACTTCACACATAGCATCAAACAGTCTCTAGAACTCCCTCAACACTCAAACCAACTTCCTCAGTCGAAAGGAAATTCTCCCTATTGACCTCTTTGCTATCTTCAGTACCTTAGAAATTGACATGATTTTCCCAACAAACAAGCTGACAGCGTTTCACCTGCCACCAGTTTTTTTTCTAGAGGGCATCAACACTCCAGAGCCCCCATGGCATTCAGGTCTCCTTTATCTCTTTTTACCTCTTCCTCTAGGAAAGAAGATTAGAATGAGCAGCCTTAGTGGCTCAGTCCAGGCCAATAAAACACTGGTTCTCAAGGATTTAGAGGTTAGTCATATGTACCCCTTGGTTCCTATTTTTGTCTCAGGATTTGTTGATATAAGCTCCCCTTTTCACCAGGACCCAGCTTAGCTTCACCTAGCCACTTTGAGGCTGAATGGAATGCCTTAAGAGTGATGGGATACTGAGACAAAGTGATCTCTAACTGATGGCTTCCAGGTGTGCATCAACCACCAGAATATATGAAGGTATTTGGAAGATTTTCACCACATGGTTCAAAGGGAGGAATATTGATCTTTATCCACATTACTATCCTTCACAATACCCTAGGTAAAAGACTCTGGCCAGCAAGGCTAGAGTGCTCTTGTCAATTTTCTCTCAGCCAGAAGCATGCAAATGTCTGCACAACCACACCTTAAGTAATTGCTCACATCAGCTGCCCAGTTACCCCCCTCACCTGTGTACCATTTTGCAAACTGTAGATTGAATGTGCTACTCAAGGCTCTCACATGTGCTCCCTTCAAGTCTTTAAAGGACATTTCACTTTGTCTTCTGTCATACAAGGTGGCTTTCTTGGTGAGCCATCTCAGCTAGACAGGTGTTGAAGCACTTGGCCTTACTCATCCCAAAACATCTCTGCACATGCTGTAAGGAAAAATGTCACTCTTCAGTTTGAGTCCTCCTTCATTCCCAAAGTTTGCCATCTCATCATTCATCCCAATGAGTTTACCGACATGAGCCAATGATGTCAATCCTCTTTAACATTGATCTGACTTAGCAAATCAGATACGTGACCTATAAGCCTTTTATTTTTAAAAACAGAATTAACTTCCCAGCTGGGCCTTACCTCAGGTGTTGTGTGTGCATGTATGTGTGTGTGTGTTTACATAAGAGCAAACTAAGCCAAATGTCTAACTTTCTAGGCAAGAGGCAGCCAAAGTGCTCCTGTGAATTTTACTGGAGATGTGAGATGGAGGGAGGAGCTGTTAAAACTTTTCATTCCAAACAGATGCATCATGACAGAGGAATGTCTCCAGACCAGACTGCTGGTCTTGAAGATAAAAGGAAGATATTCCTACTATAGTGACAGTGAGGAGCAAAAGGTTCCCCCCCCCTTGTGTGCACAACAAACATTGGGCTGTTGGTTTAACAGTTACGTAAAGAATTCTGATATAAAACCTATCAGTCATTCTCAAAACATTCATTTCATTTCAAAGTTCATGTGCCTCACTCTGGTAATTCTTCCTCCTGTCAAGTTGCCATATTAAACAATTAAAAAAAAACCCCACAGCATGATTTTCAGGAAAACAGAAACAGGAAGATGTTTGGGATACATTAACAGCCAAAAGGAAGCATTCTGTATTACAGAGCTCTCAGGCGCAACTGGGCCATGAAGAACTTGCTGTTCTTTATTGTCCCATTTCTTCTCTGGACCTGTTCTGCTTCCCCAGTTGGTAAGTTATGAAAAGAATTCATAAGCGTCTACTGAGGGAAATGGTTGCTGCAGCTTTCCCAATATAAGCAATTGGGTGAAATCCAGTGTCAGCCCCAACTAGAGGGGCATCAGTTCAGTGTGACTCTGCTAACATTTTGCTTCCTCTTTTTCTGAATGCCAGCCCTTTCTAAATCCCCACATCTGCTACACACAGTTTTGTTTCACTGACACACTGTAGTAGAAAATGAGATTCATAGCACAGTTTGGAACATTAACTATGTTGGGCTACTAGACATGTTGGCTGGGAAAATCTGGGTTTTGTAGCCCAGGAAATTAATTTTGCCAGCCTCTGCTTCTTGATCAGCATACACAGATACCTCAATCTTTGATTGAGGGGTACAGACATTAAGTGGAGTAAGTAGTTTAAAGAGCCACACTGAGGTGTATGCATGTGAAATTATTCATAGAGAAGAACATTATAATTTTTGTTTTGTTCCTTCTCCATTTCTGTTTCCAGAAATTTTTGACATCAATAATAAGATCAATAAAATAATTAATAATATTAACAACAAGAACAAGATGATTCTAGCAGTTTATATTCCCTCTTCCTCTCTTTCCTGAAGGTTGTGGAAGAGAAAATGGAATTAATATTTCTGGACAGCTAAAAAAACATCATAGACTAGTAGGCAAGAAACCTGTTATTCATGCACACTGGTGTTTCATTAAATGGCAGAAATCTCAGCAGCAAATTGTTGCCATTTGAGAAGTTCATGTATTGAATTTGGAAAAGTGCTATGTTTGACCCAGCTAGCGTTCATTCTTAAGGGCCAACAAGGCACAAGTGATGAAGCAAGAAGAGTTACATTCTCCTTCTCCAGGGAATCAAGAGTTTGTAGGAAGTTAATAGACAGTTTGTGGTACATCTGCATCTAAAATGAAGCAAAGCATTGAGTTTGTGTTCTGTAGGAAATCCTAAGGCTGCATGGGTTTCCTCAAGATCTGATGCACAATAAAAATCTGGTTGGAGTCTTAATGGTGTGAGTTTCCATTTACTCTGTGTGGATTGAACATGGTTAGAAACCTATGTAAAGAAAGGGGTAGCTGCTTTGAAGTTTCTAGAGAATCACTTGCCATTTTCTGTGTAGCAGAAATGATTTCATCTTGATTGGAACCTTCAATCATTCTAGAAGAACAGTATCTGTCCGATGGTTAGTTCTTTATTATGTTTCACTCCCATGTATATTTTTTAAAAAGTAATTATTTGAAGTTCTCTGAGAAATTCATAATCCTTTTTTTGTTGAAGTGAATCGGACTTGCCAGTCTCTTAAAGCTTAACTAATTAGTGTGATATTTTAGAATTGGAAACTTAGGCTGGACTATCTTCTACAATTTATTTATTTATTTATTTATTTGATTTAGATTTCATAGATTTAGATACAAAGTAATTTGCTTATGAATTAATGGGCAGGTGGGAATACAATGACAAAATATACTGCTACGTATAGTATTATGGTTATTTAAATATGTATAAAATAATCAACACCTATTTAAGAGGATTTTTATCACAAAAGGAGAAGACTCATGGTTAACCATGTGAAAATGTTAAATTGCACAGATTATATTTCTTTATCTCTTCATCCTCATTTAAAGATACAATAGTAACAAGCTGTTGCCTGGTCATTCTGATTGTCCATTATTTTAAAACTTACGTACTTCTACTTTTCAACACTTCACTTTTTGTTACAATAAGGTGGATCAATTTACCAGCATGTGTTTAGATACTGCATTTTTAGCAGTATATAATCTAATATATCATTGTAGGAAAATGCAGTCGTCCACCTCCTGTTCAAGATGGAGACATTCTGGAGATGCCCCAGACACTGTATTTTACAGGTGCCAAAGTAACATACAAATGTCAAAGACACTATGTAATGAAAGGTTCTCCAGACGTACGGTGTGAAAATGGTCATTGGACAGAAACTCCAGTATGCATAGGTATGGGGAATGTCTATAATCTTTCACTTTTTTATTGTATTGAAGGTTGCTATAAATATGGGCCATTGTGGATTTTAGGGCTTGGAGCCTGAGTTCCAACTGGGTTCCCTTAGAATTCTGCTAGTAATTGGGAAAAGTGGGCAAATCAGTCATTTCTGTGATTCTTTCCCCTGCTGTCTTTGCAACTCAAGAGCGCTTCCAGAGCAGCAGGTGACATTGGAGGCTGCAGGGGGAAGTGAGAATAATGGAAAATCATTGCTGTACCCTTTTGGCCAGTGCTTTCCATGAACTGAAAGAACCCTTCCATTCCACTGCCTTCTATAAACAAAGAGGCCCTCCTGTTAATGGAATGGCCTACTGGAATGCCACTCTGTCACTACAACATCATTCTCCAGGTCCTATATTGCTGTAAATTGGGCCTGAGCCCCCTCAGAGGAGCTGGCAGTGGTCGATCTGTCAGGCAGGATAATTAGTGGATTTTGGGGATGCAAAAGGTACTTGAACAGAACTGACTCTTGGGCAAGCCCCATCAAGCAGAATGAGAGCTGATTAAGACCCGGGTCAAGGTTTTTCCTTTTCATCCGGTGAGAGAAACTTTCCCCTGAGTTTGTAAATTGATTTCTAATGTTTCATAAATGTTCTAGACAGAATATTCTGCTGTCAAAGAAAAGAGAATATTTTTGGACATAAACAAGTAGATGAAGGGGGGGAAGGAGGGATCATCCATATGTGGATAATCGTCATTCATATTCTACCAAATTTTATGGAAAAAAAATTATACATCAAAATAAGTGTGCACAAAATAACAATACCAAAGAGTCTGGAATCCATGTGCAAGAGCAGTTGATATCTCTATTAGACCACTAAAAAATCAAACAGCTGGTTTTTGATGACAGTTCATCTTTGTCAGACGGAGCACCAGATATTTAAGGATCACAAGTTCTTTTCCTGTTTTTTCTGGAGTCCAGGTGTCTTTGCTTTTCAAATTGAAGTGTTTCCAGTTTTCTTTGATACCCAAACAACTCTGCATAACACACAGCCTATTTCATACTCTCAAATTAAGACAGACCTGACTGACTTGCTGGCCATGAGCCATGATTCCTACAGGTGGCACAATGTGCTTCTGGTTATGAGTACTATAATTTGAGGAAGTACTGTATTTTGGAGGAAGGGCTTTGTATCTGTGGAAAACTATGTATTTTAAATGCCATGTTTAACTTCCAGGAACCCTAAGTGAAATAATTTCAGAAAGCAGGGTGCTGAAGGATTTCTGCCTGAGAACTTCTGAAGCTATCTCCAATTAAAAGAGACAGACATGAGACAGATAGAGCAATGGCTGAAATCTATCAGACAGCATCGTATTTTTGTATTGCATATGTTATATATGTCTTTAAAAAATGAGGTACCCAGTGTGGTATAGTGAATAGAGCAATGGAGTAGAACTCTGGAAAACATGGTTTGAGCCATGGAAGTTTACTGGGGGAGTGGAACAGTTAAACCAATCCTTAAATATTTCACTTACTCTGAAAACCCTATTAGGGGTCTCTGTAAGTCAGTTTCAACTTGACAGCACATAAATAAGTTTCATACATACTCTGCTAATATAAGTAAAAGTGTGCTGCTTAAGTAGTCTGTTTATTGCATGATAAACTGTGCATGGAATCTATTTTTAAACTGAAACTTGCACTGTTAAATTAAACTATAAAAGGTGAAATGACCTGTGTATTCCTCCAGTTCCTTGCATCATCACTGGAGAAGAGATGGATCAAAACCATATCCACCTGAGGTGGAGAAATGAAAAAAAATTATATGTGGAATCTGGTGAAGTTGTAGAATTTGCCTGCAAAACAGGTTATCAGCCGGAAGCGTCATCCAGTGTATTCAGAGCACATTGTACCGAAGGCAACTTGGAATATCCAAGATGTATGCAGGTATGTCTATTGTAAAGTAATAAAGAGAAATAAATGCCCTTCAATTTTTCCAGATCCTGAGATTTTACTTCCAGTTGTAGCTGTGTAGGTGGTTGGCAGCTAACAAGTAAACAAGTACCGTATTTTTCCGTGTATAAGATGCCCCCATTTATAAAACGGCCCCACTTTTCTAAATCAATATTTCTTTCTTTGCAAGAAAGTGGAGGGGGAAAACCTCCTGCCTTCCTCCTACATTTTTGTTGCAAAAAGCAGCTTTCTCTCTCCAAATTTTGCAAAGAAAATGAGGGAGAAAGTGATTTGCAATGAAAATGTAGGGGGAAAGTAGGAATCGCTTTCCCCCTGCATTTTCTTTGCAAACCTGGAGGCAGAAAGCTGCTTTTTGCAACAAAAATGTAGGGAGAAAGTGGAAATAGCTTTCCCCCTCCATTTTCTTTGCAAAATGTGGAGGGGGAAACAGGGATCAAAGCACTTTGATCCCTCCTTACTTCCAAGTATAAAACGACCCTTAATTTTTCCTTCAATTATTTTAGGAAAAAGTGTCATTTTATACATGTAAAAATACAGTATTTGTTTTTGCTGAAATGCTACGTAACAGACTTTAAAATTCTGGAATCTCCTATCCTCCATTTTTTTTTATTATAGAAATTCACCACATATGAATAAAATCCATACATATAGTCTGCCAATATTGAAAGGCCACATCTGATATCCCTGTAGGCAGAATTTGAAAGAGATAACTTGACTAGGTAGAGTTAACATCTTAATTGCTGCTGTGCAACCCATTAATGACAGATCCATTTTTTTGCCATTGTATGAGTTTTTGTTTAATTAGATGTAGCAGTGGTTCATAGTTTAAGATATTAACTTTAGTAAATTGAGAGGGAACCATGACTCCTAACTATTTTATCAAAGAGCTGATTTATGGTGGATGCACACTTCAATCTACTTGTTCTGGTCCAGATTTTTTTTCAGGAATAGAATCAATCACAGGATAAAAATATATATATTTTTGTATTGTATATGTTATGTCTAACTTTTAAAAAGGAGGTACCTAGAGTAGTGTAGTGAATAGAGCAATGGACTAGAACTCTGGAAAACAGGGTTTGAATCCCCTGTCCTTATTTTCAGGCAATAATTAAAAGCTAATTCATAAACAATTGATTATCTTTTTCTCTATGGCACACATTTAGAAATTACCACAGATTGGAAGGAACTTGTAATTTATCTTTACAGTCATGGCAAAACAGAATATGGTATACTGTATTGTGCTCATGGAAAAATTAACACACCAGCTCAAATTAGTTAAACAGTCACATTCCCAGGATAACTTTTTCAACACATGTTTCCCTTTTATTTTTTATGTTAATAAAAATCAGAAGACTTATTTTCCATCTGTCTCCCATGTCAATAGATTTCAGTGGTGCGAAGGTTCTATATTGGATTATGAATTTCTGTTGAAAGACTGGCACTATTACTTTGTTTTTGTTTCCATGTTCTTTCAATAAAGTGGGGGGGGGGGGAAGAGAGAGAGTAGCAATCTACCACATCTTCCTGTTCAACTGACTGCATTTTAATTCAATCTTAGAAAATTAGAGCTATAGAAAGGAAATCATATATGCAGATTATACAGATCTCTATCAAAAATAGCCAACCTTTTCAGACTTCATACCCACTTTGTAGCATGGGGACCCCATTATAATTTTGTTCTGCTCCATCTAATTATATTTCATCTTCTTCTTGTTCTCCCTCTTATTTTTTTTTAACTCTCCTTGGCCGAAATTCTGTTGGGCACAGTCTGCCTACTCAGCAGGAATGACAGCATTGTCAGCAGCAGATAGCTGTCGATTAAAGACTTCCTTTTTCAGAGTTGGAATGTGTGTGACTTCATTTCACTGCATGCCCTGAAATCAGAAATGTTCATTTTTAAATAAAATCAGTCTGCTGCTAATTAATGATGACATCATTCCTGTTGCACAGGACAATAGGATTTGGCCTCTGCTTCAAATTCCATTTTCCTTTCCTTCTCCTCTTTCTCCTCCTTTTTCCCAAGTTAAGAAAAGGAGGAAAGGCAGGAAATGTTGATAGTATTGCTAGTAAGACTTATTTTGCTCTGTTACTACTGAAGACCTGTTTACCCCGAGTCCGAACCATTTCTATCCTGAAAATAAGAATTATCCAGTACGTTTTCCAGAGTTACTAGACAGTATTGTGATTGTTGTAGATCCCCTTTCCATATATGCCTTGGTCATCTATGCACACCAAGATTTGGAAAATAAAAAAAGAAGACATCCTCCAACCCAATTGCTAAAACCATTCCTGCTAGAAAGTAATTTTTAGTCTCTACAAGACAACTGTGTGAAATGACTACTTAAATGACTGGACTTGTTCAAAACCAGACATGTCTTCAAAGAAGCAACTTGTGGTTGCTATTTTCTTTGCCATTATATTCAGCTTTGTTGAACGTGCCTATCTATAGCGTCTTACTGGTTCCTCTGTATAGCAGTCAATAGGATAGCACAGATGTTTTCAGATTTTTACTGGTTTTTTTGGTTGCAGCATAACCGATGCCTACAAAGCAAATAGGGTGAAATCTCATTAGTTACCTCCATGAGTGTAACACTGATACAGTAATTTTTGGTTGTGAATTCCTACAGATTGAGGAATCAGCGTAGACTTTGCATGCAACAAATAATATCTACACTGACTCTGCATCTTGCAGCAACTTGCTGCTACTATTGTACCTCTTGCTTTGCATGGTGCAATGTGATAATAGGATTTTTGTACAAAGTTTTTTAAAATGCAATCTTTTGTTCTCATTATCTGTTTTATATTTCACAGGCATCTTGAGATTCATGGGAAGGAGAAGCCTACAGCACACACTTTTAGCCAGGAATCGAGTCTTCTGAAATCACGGATCACTTATTTTTAACTGCATTGAATCAAAGTGCCTTTGCACATACTGTATAGGAATCGTAATAAGTAATAGTAATCCTAGAATTGCAGAGCTGGAAGGGAGCCTGTGGAGTATGCATGGATGGTGCATGCATAACCCTCATCAAGGAGACACAATGGGGAATTGAACTCCCAGCTTTCTTTTAAATGGATTGCTAAAGTGCTAGGATACTACAGTAATTGGGAAACTAGGGAACAGTTCTTTAACTCACAGAGGGGGTCTCTACTGTTCTTCTATGTACATTGGCATAGTTTTGATTACACTGTACTGTACTGAAAAAAAATGAAGTTTCCATCATGTTCTGTTGGAGCCACTGAAATTCCCATTATAAATTCTGTATTCTCTACTGTCTATCAATAAAGCATCTGAATTGTTTCAGGTACAATCCTGAATCTCTGGTTAGGCATGAAGCACTGGGGTAAAAATTTGAAATCATATCTGTTTACAACAGATTCCTGAGTCAAAATGTAACTTCTCCACTGTTATAAATTGATATCTGCCAAAATGTATGTTGGCTTTGTGTATCCATGATGGAATTATTTTATTTTTTTAGCTTGCGGTGGATGTGTTTCATTTATACATTTTTAAAAAATGTATAAAAAACAAAGCATGCTTTTTGTTACTGATGCACACTGAAATGAGATCGCAATATGGACTTTAAAAGGGCAGCTATATCACCTTTTTAATATGTTAATACCACTGCTTTGACATTTTTTCCTATTAACATGTTGGGTAATCATCATCCAGCCTCGGAGACAATAGTAATATTTGACTGTCTTTGTGTGGTTACCAGAGTGTGAGAGAAAACACCCATGCTATTCAGATAGTCCCAACACTTCCAGATGGGCACAGAGGTAAAAAAAATGCAAATCAAGGAAGCTTACCTTCCTTTGATTGCCTAGTGGGAATTCTCATAAGTTTCACAGCCAAAGGATTTTTGGTTGCTTTGCATCTATTTTACCTATTGGATACCACTCAGAGGCTAGAAACAGATGTCCTATGATTAGAAAAGGAAAATCCTTAACTCATGAAAATCTCTGAATCCCAGCAGGTATTTCTACCATCTTTGGGAAAAAACAAAATAGTTTGCTTTCTATGGTGGTTGGTGCTGAGGATTTAAGAATAGTCTGACCTCAAAAACCACAAGAAACTCAATCAGTTCTCTGTAACATTAATAATGCTTTCAGTTGTAATTACTGGCTGTTTTTAATATCTGTTTCTAGCCTCAAATTTCTGAGCTGGAGCAGTTTCTAAATCTGGCCGATGAGGCCACCTAGAGTGGCCTTATAGGCCAGATGGGTGGGGTATAAATCAAATAAATAAATAAATAAATAAATAAATAAATAAATAAATAAATAAATAAATAAATAAATTTAATCAGTAAATATTTTCACTTTGCAAGCATAGCATAGCAGGGGCATTTTGCTCATTTCTTTTTTCAAATGTTTGCTTCCTCAATTTTTTTGTTTGTTTGCTTGTTTGTGGGGGGGATGTAGGAGAAGATCAATTATTGTGATCTTCAAGGCCACCAGAGCCTCTGCAGTGTCTCGGAGGACAGACATCAAATCATCTAAGTCCATTCATCATGGAGCAAAATCAAGACTCCCCCTTTCATTGTTCTTTGGTATTGAATTCATTTATTCTTTTAGTATTGTTTAGTTATTTCTATTGATCTTAAATACTGTCTTTTGATTGTTGTAAGCCATCTTGGGTCCTTTTAAAGGAAAAAAGTGGTTTAAAAATATTTTAAATATATTTTAAATATAAAAATAAATAACTGTCAAAATTGACCAAAACAATGAATTGCTCCATCATGACAGTGCACGTTTGGGGCATCTGGGATTATATTCCTTATTTTCATATGATAAAATATGTTATTCTCCGTATCTTGGATGTCCTTCTGAACTCATCCTTGCGTCAGGCTGTACTGATACAAACTGAGATGCTTTCCAAGGTATTTCCCAGTCCTGCACTTGGAAATATATCACACCACAATGTAATTTCCTTATAGGTACTTTATAGGTGCTCTTGGATGTGTTCCTGATGCTCAGGTTTCAGCAGTGGCCAGGAGTGCATTTTCACCAGTTCCTGGAGATGTCTGATCTGGCCACAACGACACATGCCTTAGTTATGTCCAGTTGGATCACTATAATATGCTGCATATGGGGTTGCCTCTGTAAAATATTTGAAGACTTCAGTGGGTCTAAAATACTGCTGGCAGGCTCTTAACTGGAATTGCTTATACGGATCTCATAATTCCACTGGCTGCTAATCCATTCCTGGATTTAGTTCAAAGTGCTAGTTTTGACATGTAAAGCCTGAGCCATTTGGATCCAAGCTATTTGAAAGACCCCCTTCCCCTATATGGGCCTGCCCATATTTTTAAACCATCAGGTTTTTCTCTCTGTTCTGCCATTCTCACAGATGCATTTGGTGAGGACCTCTTTTGCTCGCTCATATGGGAAACCAGGCTGGCCCTATTTCCTGTCCTTCCCCAGCAGCCAAATACTTTTGTTCTTAGACAGGCCTTCTCCCAGTTATTGGCTGCCTGAGTTATTAACTGACTCATTGTGACTTTTCTATATATGTTTCACAATTGTTTTTATCTACTAGTTTGAAATTTAGGTACATCTGTTTCGTTATTTTAAAATACTGTATTTATTAATTTATTTGTTTATTTATTTGTTTAGCATTGCTGCAATTTATTACAACATTGTAAGGTACCTGAGGTCCTCTTGAGGAAAGGAATATTTTGAATACATGAAAGTAAGCCTATTTCAATGTGTGTGAAGCTGGTTATGTTTAATTAGATTAGGCGTCCTTCAGTCTCGAGAGATTATGGTAATGTGCTCTGTATGGAGGACTTGGAATAGCATCTAGTGTGGCTGAGAAGGCCAATTTGAGAGTGACAATTCCTTCCATTCTGAAGACAAATACAATCTGTCCCCTGTCCAGCTCCCTGATTTTGCTGCTTTTGGGATTGCCTCTTTGCCTCGACCTGCTGGACAAGGGTATCTTCAAAATGGGAGAGGCCATGATGCATTGCCTGCCTCCAGGCTGAATGCTCAGATGTCTAGCTTTCCCATCTGTTGAGGTCCATTCCTAAGGCATTCAGATCCTGCTTTGAGATATCCTCGTATCCCAAATGTGGTCTCCCTCTGGGGCGATTTCCCTGCACTAATTCTCCATACAGGAGGTCTTTTGGAATCTGACCATCAGCCATTCTGATGACATGCCCAAGCCACAGTAGATGTCACTGTTTCAGTAATGTATACATGCTAAAAATTTCAGCTCATACTGGGACAACTTTAATTGGAACTTTGTCCTGCCAGGTGATATAAAAAATGTGTCAGAGACAACTCATATGGAGCGTGTTCATCTTCCTCTCCTGCCATGCACAAAGGGTCCAGGACTTACTGCAGTACAGGAGTGTGCTCAGGACATAGGCTCTATATACCTGTATATTGGTATATTCTCTCTGCTTCTTATTAAGCCATACTCTCTTTGTGAGTCTTGAGAACGTGGTAGCTGCTTTGCCAATGTGTTTATCCAGCTCAACTCCTAGGGAGAGATTGTCAGAGATCGTTGAGCCAAGGTACACAAAGTCATGAACAACCTCCAATTCTTGTGTGGAGATGGTAATAGAGGGAGGTGAGTCCTCTCCCTGGCCGATGACTTGTGTTTTCTTCAGGTTGATTGTTAATCCTTGGCAGGCCTTGCTAAAAGGATTCATGAGTTGTTCAAGGTCTTCAGTAGAGTGGGTACCAACAGCTGCATCATCAGCAAAGGACAAGTCCCGCATGCATTTCAGATGGACTTTGGTCTTTGGTCTCAATCTAGAGAGAGCTTTCCATCTGATCGAGTCTGGAGATAGACACCTTCTGCTGCAGTTCCAAAGGTGTGCTTCAGCATGACAGCAAAAAAGATCCCAAACAGGGTTGGCGTGAGGACACAGCCCTGTTTCACTCTGCTTCGCATGTCAAGGAGATCTGATGTTGAGCCATCAAAAACTACAGTGCCCTTCATTTCCTCATGAAAGGACCCGATGATGTTAAGCAGTCGAGGTGAACATCCAATTTTAGGAAGGATTTTAAAAAGGCTGTTTCTGCTAACCAAATCAAAGGCCTTAGTGAGATCTATGAAGGCCACAAAGAGTGGCTGTTGTTGTTCCTTACATTTTTCCTGCAGCTGTCTGAGGAAAAATACCATGTGGTGGATCTATTAGCTCAAAATGCACACCGAGATTCTGGATAGACTCTGGCTGAAAGCACCTGGAGTTTCTTCAGCACAACACGGGCAAGCAGCTTCCTTACAACGCTGAGAAGAGAGATGACACAGTAGTTATTGCTGTCGCCCTTGTCTCCTTTGTTCTTGTACAATGTGACAATGTTTGCATCCTTCATGTCCTGTGGTACTCCACCGCCCCTCCAGCAAAGACAAAAGATTTCATACAGCTCAGTGGTGATGATCTCTTTACAGCAATTCAGCAGGGATATTATCCTTCCCAGATACCTTGCCAAAGGCGAGGGAATCCAAGGCCACTTTTATTTCTGCTAAGGTTCGTTCACTGTCCAACTCTTGCAAGACAGGCAGGCACTTGATGTTATTTAGTGCCTCTTCGGTTACTACATTCTCTCTGGAACATAGCTCAGAGTAGTGCTGCACTCAGCGTTCCATCTGCTGTGCTCAATCCTGGATGATCACGCCTGTAGCAGACTTCTCCTGTATTGGACCTAAAGCCTGCTTGATACCGTCATACATTCCCTTGATGTTACCTGTGTCTGCTGTTTTCTGTATCTGAGAGCAGCGTGTTGGGCTTAGCTATGAGCAAGTTGAAGAACCTGCAAGTTGTACTCACTAGGACAGGCTTTGTATGCTTCTAGAGCTCTCCTCTTATCCTCGATGGCTGGCATCAACTCCTCCAAATGGGTTTCGAACCAGTCCGCTGTCTTTTTGGTCTTCTTGCCAAATGCAGACAAGGCGGTGTTATAAACAGCATTCTTGAAATGTTCCCATTGTTCAGGTGCATTTGCATCGGCCGAGCCTGGAAGGGTTTCCTAAAGTGCTTGGGCAAATTCCTCCACTTTTCTTTGATTGTGAGTCTGCTGATGTCAATACATGGTCTTCCTTCCTATTTCGTGTGATACATTCTCTTTATTCACAGTTTGACTCTACTACACAGCAGGGAGTGACCAGTTTCGCAATCAGCACTCTGGTAACTGTGTGTGATCATAAAAGTAGGAAGGCTAGAACGTCTAGCGAGGATCAAATTGAGCTGATGACAATTCTTGGATCTTGGATGTCTCCAGGTGTTACATACAGGACTGATGTTACCTGTCTGTCATGGGTTTGGAGGGAAGGTTCCATCCTATGGGGAGTGGAAGGCGGGACATCAGGAGGAGGGGCTGTACTGTATATATATGTGGAGCGTGTGTGGAGAAGTTTAGAAGCTGGAGAAGAGCTGAGAGAAGAAGCTTGAGTGGGAGTCTGTGTGTCAGACAGGGTACTA